AGTGTATGCTGTAATAATTGTAGTTGTCCCAAAATTGGGGGAAATCTCCCTATTTTTAGGGTCATTGGGAAATGTGCCCCTAATTAGATCATTTTGACCTAATAATTCTGGGCTGCGCCGCATTGCGACTTTCTCGGGATTTGGGCCGTTTAAGGCCGCCTTTTGCTACCAAGTTCTAGGAGAGACACGTTTCAGATGGAGATTGGCCCAATTCGGACCAACCAGGGTATGACACGTGTCAAGGCCTGATTGGGCCACGTGGCATGGATAAAATTACTCAAAACAAATATCATCCAGCCAATAGAGGATATCATCTAGTCAATAGAGGATATCATCCAGCCAATAAAAGGAAATCATATAGTCAATAAAGAATATCATCCATTTAGTAGAGGGTATCATCCAGTCAATAGAGGATATTATCCATGCAATAGAGGATTTATCCAGCAAGTAGAAATATCATCCGACCAATAAAGGATATCATATAGCCAATAAAGGATATCGTCTAGTTAGTAGAGAATATCATCCAACCAATAGAGGATATTATCCAGCCAATAAAGGATACACCACTATAAAATTTGCCAAAGAGACCAGATATAATTGACCTATTATGGATCTCTTTGATCCAAGAGACCATTTATTAATAATAACGGGTCTCAAACTTCATTTGTTTGAAGGTAAAAATATACAAAAGATCAGTTATCTAAGATAATCGATCTCTCTCGCTTTTTTTAATATTTTATTTTTTATATAAAAATAGTTGGATAGCAGTTATTAAGAAAACAAGTCTCTCTTTTTTTAAAAAATTTTAAAAATTAGTAGGCGGGATTGGTTATCCATTAAACAGGTCTCCCTTATATTTAAGTCTCTAACCCCTAAACTTAGAGCATATTCACAACAGTTCTATTATTTATTTATATATATATATATATATATATATATATATATTTTGTTAACCCAATAATTCAATTTTCTCCCAATATCTACTATAATTTGGTTTGAGTTTGTTCAAATCAGTTGATTAATGTTTGAAAACTCAATTCTTCGATTCATTTTTTTTTCGAAAATAAGCTACTCGCTTCAATGTGATTTTGTTCGAAAATTTGATTTCTTTGATTCGGTTTGATTTTGTTCTCTCTTTTTTAACTATATTGGAATTTTATTTCTCGATTAGATCGAGCATGCAAGGGCACGGAGAAGGTTGGTTTGAATTTTTTTTTTTGTTTTTTTTTTTTGTAAAATTTCGTCTTTAAGAGTGTTCTTCAATTATGCTATTTTAAAGATCTATAAATTGACTAACATTTTCCTTTTTTCTCAATTATTCTTTTTTTAATTCAAATTCTATTAATTTTGATATTTTTTTGATATTTTTTTCTTCTAGAATTTACTTCATTAGTTGTTAATTGGATTTCGTTTCTACTCTTTTTTTTTTTTTTATTTCTTTTTTAAAAAAAAAAATAAAATTTTTTTTTTGGTGTTAGGGTTCTTTGAATTAAGATTGTTATTTGTGAGTATATCATTTAAAACGAGTTTTATTTTAGATCTCGTATTTTGTAAGTTATAATTTCTAGAACTATTTTTTTCGGTTTTTCATATAGTTTAATTCTGTTTTTTTTTTTTAACTTTGAAATTTTGTTATTCGTTTTCTTTATAATTGTTTTGATTTATATTTTATGGAGAATAAATTCTGATATTTTAATATGTTGTTTAGATTTTCGTTGTTTTTTATATGGTTTTGATTTATATTTTTGGAGATAAATTTTTTAATTCTTTTTTATGTGTTTGTATCTGAGGTTGTAGGTGAAGATCTATAAGTTTCGAAGTGGATAAATTTGTAATTAAAGATCTTTAAAGCTTGAAGTTTCTGGGATGGATGACTCGTAGCATTTCTCTAGATCTTAAAGGAGCTGCAATTTACAGTTTTTTTATTAGCTTTTTTGTATTCAATTTTCACTGACGTTTGTAATTTTGAGGTATACGGAATTTAAGAATTATTTTGTACTCAATACGTAGTATTTATTAATATAAAAATGAAAAATTAAATGCAATTGAGTTATATTGATGATCGAATTAAATATTTTTTTTTTATTTTTAAATGAGGCTAGACCCGTTTGCTTAAATAAGCAGTCTCATTTTTTCTACAACTAAAAAAGAGACTGCATATATTAGATAGGCAATCTAAGTTTTTTCATTCTAGAGACCGCCTTTAATAAAACAGTCTCTTTGCCAAAGAGACCGCTTAGCTAGAGACAGCCTCTAAAAAAGTCTCTTTGGCCTATTTGAACGGGTCTCTTTGGCCAATTTTGTAGTACTGATATCTTGATGACATTAAAAATCTGCATTTTATAAGTCAGCATTGATGAAACATTTTGTAAACATTTCGTGAATCTAGATTGTCACAATACCTTCTCATTATGAAGCAATTAAGCACTTATGTATCCCTAAATCAGGCCGAATAAATACACTATTGTAATTTTGAAATGACGCACCACCTAGTCCATGAACACTAGTAGATTTTAGCGCGAATTGTGATGACAATGTCCAATCTGCCATAGTGCATGGCATAATTTCGAGTTTGTTAATGATAAAAGCAATGCCAAATATTTTTGAAATTCAACCATGTTTTTACTTTTCTAGTTTTCTTCCTTGACGTAAATCTTTTAATGGTCCCACATCAAAAATTAGCCACTTGTGGATTAATTCGTGATATGTTTGGCTGTAAGTTGTCTCCATTTATAGCCTAATGTATGCTTGCCAACTTTCAATATAGCATAATATAGACCTTTTATTTGTCAAATTGTATATACCATGTACTGTTATAGTAACAATCAACCCAATTTTATACAACTCGTAATGTAATTAAACATGAGTTGATTGAAAATTAACCTACTATATATATTTGAGATTGATTTATTTCTCTTTCTCCGTATTAATTAAATTGATTGATAAAAATATCTGAAGCTTCAAACTCAATTGATTGATGAATCCACCATAAAACAATCAAACTCAAAATTAGTTACACGAAGGACGTAGTATATAATAAGTGATATTCCTCTTACCTAAAAAGTTTTTAAAGCAACACCTATGCAATAAGGTGCTTTAGTAGTGAAAAATTTCAATGTTATTTACTAGGAAATTTTGTTAAAAAGGACCTTTTAAGTGCATTTCTTTGTTAAAAAGGACCTTTTAAAGCTAAAGTTGTCTAGAGGGTACAAATTTTGGAAAAATTTTGTGACTTGGGACCACTTTCCGGAAGCCAAAGTTGACTGCACAACTCCGGCATTAACCAGCACTTGCGGCCACCATTTTCCTCCACCCCATCGCCTCCTTCTTCCCCCTCCCCATTCACGACAAGTCGACATCCCCAGCCACCCCCTTTTATCCTCCGTTGCCGACACTAATCCCGAAACCCCAGTCTCATCCCTTTCACGGCCGCAACCCACTTCTCCCCTTTCCCCACCTCCACTCCCTTTCCTCCATTGTGATTACTTTAAATATGTTCAAGCGATTTCCTCCACCCAAACCTTATAATTTCGGGATGAGAGAATGGAGCAAAGAGAGAAGATGAAATCAAATTTCTGAGTGATCGAGTTTAATGAAATTAGGGTATGAAATTGGATTAATTTGTGACGAATTTGGGGAAAGTTGAGATCTTTGAGATTAAGATCGAACCCTTACCGGAGATTAAGTTGAAAACGGAGGGGGTGGGTAATCAGGCGAGAAAAAGGATCGGGGTTGAGGAAAGGGAGGCGGCTTGGGTGTCGCTTAGACAGTGGAGGGGGAGAGAGGGGGCTAATGGGGGGGGGTCTGCCATGAAAGGGGAAGGGGGAGGGGTTGGGCTAGGGTGGTAAACGCCGTACTTGGTGGGTCAAATTCGACTTTCCGGCGAGTGGTTCCAAGTCACAAATTTTTTCCAAAATTTGTAACCTCTAGACAACTTTAGCTTTAAAAGGTCATTTTTAACAAAGAAATGCACTTAAAAGGTCCTTTTTAACAAATTTTCCTATTTACTACCTCCGTATCATATTATATGCAACTTTGGGGGTATTATTTGTGAGATATAAAAAATTCCAAAGTTGCATATAATACGATCCGGATGTAGTAATTAACACTTATGGGGAATATCATTATTTTAGTTTAGGCTTGATTAGAGCACTTGTATTCATCAAACTAGTTTAGGCTTGATTAGAGGACTTGTATTCATCAGACTATAGTATACAAAATTAATTTAACAATCAAACAACTGTAAAAATATACATACTATCATTATATACCCCTCATGACGAGGACATTGTAAAGTTTTTATCTTACTTTCTATAAAAAATATAAAATAAAATAAAATAAAATAAAATAAAAAGTATGGTCATTATAGTGTTATTTCATTTACTCTACTTTCGACCTTTTAATAATGCAATAATTTAACTTAATAAGCTAGCTAATTAAAACTTATTAGCAATATTTTACTTGGATAATTTCTCGACTTTATATCACTCACTAATCACAATTAAATACTCATAGCCAATATAAAACTCCTTACTAATTATTTGAAATGAATTTTACAAGGCAAAATAGAGATGTTTGACAAATTTTTATATTATTATTATTATATTTTACAAAGTTTAATGGATATATTTTTTTTTCCAATGATATTGGAAATATATATATGATCTCAATAAAAAAAATATTAAAAAAAGGAGGGTGTGCATTTGATTTTAAATTTAAAACAGATCTTTCATCATTTTCATTGTAGATTTGTAATTTTTGAAGAGTTTTTCAATAAAGTAACTTAAAGAACTAATTATATATCATAATAATACTAGTATAGATAAATTGAAGAAGAGTAAAAATATATTTGTACATAGACTTCAGTGTCCTTTAGCTGAAAGCAATAAATCTGAAAAAAAAATTATTCATCAACTTAATTCTTATGGTCAAAAGGATCACCCCACCACTTACAATTAAAAATAAATATTTGATAAAAGAAAAAGATAGTTGCAATGCACTTTGAGCGTTAAAAAGTCAGAAAATCTGGCATTAATAAGAAGGAGCATAATAACATACCTAACTGTTACTACAAAGATAGATCATTTTGTCTTTCTTCTTTTCCTATATGAGAAAAAAGGGAAAAGAAGAAAGAAAAGCGCATCTCCATCATCATCATAAACATAATTAAGATGAATAATACTAATACTAGCTACAATAATAGTACTCCATCTGTCCCTTAATTTTTGCCCCATATAACTCGTAAAGCTCTCACAAATAATTGGTCCATGGAGTAAACAAAAAAGGGACCGAGGGAGTACTAGTTAAGAAATTACTACACAATTATAATGCAAGTTACATATGATAAATCCTCCTTCATTATTCATCGGTTTTCTGGGTGCAATGGGAATAGCTCAAGGGTTTTGTCTTCCTCATTCATATGATCCTTCTTCGGGTTCGTGTCGGAGCATTCGAATGTAAGCCAGCTCCTATACTTCCTCTTGTATGGACTTATCTGTTGCTCTTCTATGTCTGCCTGCTATGAGCATAACAAGAATAATTAATATTTTAAGTAAGACGTATTGGTAAACAACGTAACTTTTTAATTACATTAGTAGGTTAAAATATTTAACTATTATTGTCATATTATACTTGAAAAGTAACCTAGTCATTTGCATTTATAATGAAATCTAGAAGAAATAATGTGAACCCCACTTTGGTTACAGACAACTACTATGTATAAGAAAAAAAAAAAGACTTAGGTCTCATTCACTTCACATTATTTTTGATGAATTGAAATTATTTTTATTGAAACAAAATTATATTTACTAAAATTAAATTATTTTTACTGAATTTAAATTAATTTTACTGTACTTAAATTATTTTTGCTGAACTGAAATTATTTTTACTGATTTTCTATTGTAATTCTTTTTTAAGAAAACTAATTTACTTAATATTAGTTTTTTAAAGTGAAGTAAAAATCATTTATATATATATATATATATATATATATATATATATATATATATATATATTATGTACACTCTCTATACAAAAAAAAAAGTTTTATAATGTACCAATTCCATCATGATTAAAAATGTGACATGATTCTCAATAAAATTAAACCTTTGACTAAAGTAACTAGTGATGTATCTTTTAATACCATCATGAAAAATAATTAGTTTTCCAATCACAATTTATTTTAGGTTTAATAATATTAGAAAAGTTCATTTAAAATAAATTTAGATATCACATCGCATAAGTTCAATTTAGAAAAAATAAGTTTAGCTAAATTCACTTAAGTTAAGATAGTGAAAATCAGGTGAATAAAACACACCTTTAATAATATATATGACAAATTGACAAAATGTAATGCGTAATAACTGGTATACATAATTATACGTATATATGCATACCCTTGTGTCTAGAGTTAATGAAATGGAAGTGTCAATTTGAGTAGGAGCAGCATTAGGTGTCCTGGGGTTGTGACTAAGGCCAAGGATACTGCGTTTTTGCTTTTGTCTTTCGCGAGCTTTATGATTTTGAAACCAGTAAAATACATTCTTTCCTTCGATCTTGCCGTACTTGCTTAGCTGCTCCGTTATCTGCTCTATTTGTTGCGCATTCGGCGTCCGCATTCCTCCTCTGTACAACATCTCTAAGATCCCTATCTGCTCTTGCGTAGGGTTCCATCTCGTTCCACCCGGATGCGATTCCACCTACCAAATAAGATCGATCTTCATGTGATTAGCATAAATATATACAGCATGTAGCACACAGTAGCTATGTGTAAGTATATGTTTAACTAAGAGTCTGTTTTGTTTACCTTATTTTCACTTATTTGGGGTCTAATATGATCAGTAAGTTCAAATAAGATCACTTCAAGAAAAATATGTTCTCATGAGGGTATTCATGTACAAATTATAAAAAAAATAAGTTTCAATAAATTCAAATAAGTTAATATCAGTTCAATCTTGTTCAAATAACATTGATTACATTAGCATCCATATTTCCTCACCTATTCTCCTTTAGTTGCATCATTTTTACATCACAATGATATACTACGTATTATATTTCAAATTATAATTATTGTTTATATATTCTTTTTTAATGTACTTACAAATATTGATTAGTGAAGGTACTCATTAGTAAACATAAAAATAAAATTGTTGCAAATAAAAGAGAACAGAGTAAGTACGTATGACATTATATAATACTTCAGCAGCCCCGAACTTTATGTACCAAGTCTAACCAAACAAGTAAATATTAGCATACATAATGTTCAAGCTGAGCTAGAACATATAATTGCCTAATATATATGGTTGTCCTCTCATTCTTATTACTATACACTTTGCTAAACTAAGTTCCTTTACAAAGAAGCAATGTTCTTTTTTTTTAAAAAAAAGTAACAATGATCAAGGCAGTAGTAATTAAACTCGGATTATGAATTACCTGTTGAGTGCCTGAATCTTTCTTATGATCAGAAGGGGAAACAACCTTTCTTGGACCGCTCTCGGGTTTTATGAAGCTCTTGAGATCAAAACTAGGGTGATTAACAACATTGTTGGTGGCAACCTTAGGAGCAAGAGGCCGAAACCGTTTGCACCCGAGAGAAAGGGCAGCTTGGGAGTCATGAGATTGATGATTATCCCAAAAGCCACGTGCAAACGGGTGCACCTTCATGCTACTACTACCCATGACGTCGAAAAATAGAATGAATGAACGATGGAGAGCGCCAACGTAGTTAGTCTCTAATTATATAGAGATATAATGTTAATAATGATGATGATAATGAATAATAATAATAATGGTAGAAATATAAAGAGAAAGATATAAGTAGAAAAGAATGAAGGACAAGTAGAGAATGAAAGAAGATTGATGATAATAGTAAAGGTGAGAAAAGAAAGTGGGAAATGAGGTGGTGTTTGGAAGAACCAAGACCAAATGATGAGGTGAGGTTGACTTATGATTTCTAATACCAAAAAGAATTGAATAAAAGTTGGAAAAAGAAAAAAAAAAGTGAGTGAATGAATGAATGAGAATGATGGTAATTAGATGGGTAATGAGCGTGTGGGTAAAATGTATGCGTGTGTTGTTGAGGAGTCTAATCAAAGGAGGAGGGGACGTGTTTTTCTTGCTTTCATCATTACATTGTGTATTTGCTTTTCGGTGGCCTTTGTTTGGCTCTCATATCAGTAGGGCTTAGCAATTTAAACTTTATTATTATGTCTAGCTAGATATATATACTTCAATTATTAATATCTTTGAATGATAATATGTGGGACATAAGTAAAATGTCTCTCATAATTATATTCATTTTTTATTTATTTATTTATTTATTAATTTTTTTGGTATGACTCATATAGAATTGTAAAAGAATTCCATTTGAATTGTGTAAAAGTTAATTAAATTGAACAAATGAATAAAGTAACAACGAGTAAAGTTTTAAGCGCATCAATAATAATTGGCGTTCTGCAGTTAGGTGCAAATCAACTAGAATTATGATGTATTGGAGTATACTATTAGATTTTAGATCATCGGATGATAAACACATAAGGAAAAGTAACGTTTAAGAGGGAATGAATGAGGCAAGGGAAAAATGAAAAGATACCTCCACCAATCCTAAAACACGAAAATGGAGCATTTTTAGCTTTTTAAGATACGGATTGATATATGAATTTGGGTTTTTATAAAATAAGAAATAAAGTAGTGAAGGCCGTCTTTTAGTGGTAGAAATTGTTGAAAAAACAAAACCAAATCCACCTGAAAGGCAATATGATCAACATTCCTCTTCTTTGGGAACTGTAGTCCCAAGTTCCCAAATAGTGTAAATCCACAATCACACTTTTCTTTTGTATAGTATTATAAATTGACTTTAGTACCCGCTACTATTAATTAGAGATAACTACTAATTTAGTCATATTTATGTGTCAAAATCTTGCGTTTGAAATACTAGATTTGGCTACACTAATCAGTACAGTTAGGAACAAGTGTTAAATTTTTTTTTTTTTTTTTTTTTTTTTTTTTTTTATTTTTTTTTAAGAAACAAGTGTTAATACTTTATATGATTTAATTGTAATTAGTCCATGTATGGTCCTCTTTCACCGAATACGATTTGAAACTTGCTCATGTTCCTTTTTTAGATGCATGCTAATTTATGCAAAGTATATATTAATTTATTCCATAATATTTTATATTTTTGTTTGCTATAAATATATGTGGTATTAAAAATTAATCTATTCTGTTAAGCCTTAATATTGTATTTAGCTTTTGGGCCTATGTTTAAGCCCTAATATGTTTTAGGTTGTATATAAACCTTGTCATACAGAAATACAAAGTAAAAAAAATCAATTCCAGACATGGTATCGGAGCCTCTAAGATATTAAACTCTATTATTATTATTATTATTATTATTATTATTATTATTATTATTATTATTATTATTATTATTATTATTATTATTATTATTATTATTATTATTATTTTCTGTCACTAGTAGAAAAAGAGCAATTGGCATCGGTTAAAACCCGGTCTAAGGCACCGGTTTGAACCGCTTTCTATGTGGGGGTGCCAATTACCCCCATTTTTAGCACCGGTTCAAAACCGGTGCCCTAAACCAGTTTTGGCACCGGTTAACCGGTCCCTTTAATTATTTTGGCCACCAGTTAACCGGTGCCTAAAATAGCCTCCCGCGTAAATTTTTTTTGGTGGCAGCTAGTTTTGGCACCGGTTAACCGGTGCCTTTTCACTCAATATTTTTTTTTCCATTTTTCGTGCAATAATATTTAAAAAAAACACCCTGTTTTCAGCCATAATAATAACCTGTAATTCCAGCAATAATATTAAATAAAATAATTAATAATATTATTATTATAATTACTAATAATAATATTATTATTAAATATTATAATAAGATATAAATAATATTAAAAACAAGAATTCATTTATATATATATATATATATATATATATATATATATATATATATATATATATATATATATATATATATATATATATATATATATATATATATATATATATATAACCAAACCCAGAGATGGATACCTTTCACGTCATTTGATTATCGAACAAATCAAAAGTGTGAAAGATCTAGTGATGAGGATGTTTTTATTAAAATATCTCTTCTTTCTGTTTTTGAAAATATTTCTTTCTTACCTTATTTTTGAAAAACGTGCATTCCAGTTTAGTTTGGTCCATGATATGGGTCAAATAATGGTGTGGTTTGATAGGGTTTAAAAAGACCTTTTCAACGATATATTATAAGCCCAATTCCGATGAATAATGAGTAAGTTATAGCCAAAATACTAAACTGGGCCCAAACCGGATTTTACCTACGGCACAATGATCATGTAGAGAGTCAAAAGGTTTAATCCTATTCCTAAACTAATTAGGATTAATTAGAAGCTTGTATAAGTTTTTAAAAGATCTTAATTATCCTTTTTGAAAAGATAAGATTAAAGAATTTGAGTTAAATAAAAACTTTCCTTTTTTTAAAACTTTCCTTTTTCTTAAATCCTAATTGTATTCGAATTTAAAGATGTTCAAAGACAGTCAGATTTTATTTCGTGCCTCATAATCTTTATCCAAATTTTATATGGTTGGATAGATTTTGAAATTATTTTTCCAATGATATATTATAATATTAAATCCGAGTTATAACAAAAAAGATATGAATGGAATATGAAACTATATCCAAAACTAACACCCTTCTACTATTTCGGCCATATCTTTTTATCTACAAAATATTTTAATCTGATAATAATTGGGTTGCAAAGTAGACTTCAAGAGCTTTTCAACTACATATCATATGCCTTATTTAGACTTCTGGATGAAAAGATATGATAAAAACAAAATCCGCAAAAAATGTTGTCTATCGAGTTCTATTTCGATTCGAATTCGGATTATTTTCTTTTTCTTCGACTCACTTTTTCCTATATAAATAGAGGTCATATCTCCCCTTTTTCAATCACCAACTCTCATCAAGAATCTCTTGATTATTCTCTCTCTCTCTCTCTCTCTCTCTCTCTCTCTCTCTCTCTCTCTCTCTCTCTCTCTCTCTCTCTCTCTCTCTCTCTTTCTAAGCCTAGCTTTTACAAACAAAATTCCTCATACATTAGCACTAGACACACCTAGCCATATTCGAAGTTGCCTTCGCCCTAGACGTGAAAGGTTTTAATTTCTTAGGGTTTGATCCCAAATCTCTCTTTCAATTATTATTTAATTTAATTGTTTTGATTATTATTTTCCTTGAATTTACTAATGTGTGTATTTTGTTGTTAGAAAGAGGTAAGAGGCATCCAAGTAAGTGCTTTAATTGTTTAATTGATATTATGATATAGAAATCATGCTTAGGTTGCTATTTTGATTTCTAGTATCATGTTAGGATGTTTTATTGCTTCATAGTATCATGTTTAGGGTAATAACTAAAAATTTCTAATGTCAAGTATGATTGATATGATGCTTCCTATTTTCTTTCCTAATATTCATGTTAGTATCATGTTAGGGTTATATATTTGATCTTTATTGCTTAGTGACATGCTAGGGTTTATTATTAATCTTGTTAGTATCATGTCTAGTATCTTGCTATTAATATTATGTTTTAACATGATTATTTTAATCATGATTATTATTAGAATTTATGATTATTATTATGTTGCTTGATGCTTATTTATTGTTATTACTTGATCACACCTTTTATGCATGTTTAAAGGGAATTAGTATTTGTAATCACGCTTAATAAGATAATTAATAATCTTGTTTAGGGTTAATTTGATTATAATTCAAGTGATCGTCAATAATAGATTTATTTGTGCATTTATATTCAACCAACATAGATAAACAGGTTTAGGGTTAATCCTATTGGTTGCATGTTAGTCAGAAAGCGCACATGAATACGATCAGAATAAAGTAGAGGCCTATTATTAGGGCAGGTTCAATCTCTTTTAGGTTGGATTTGTACCTTCATCCCCAAACTACCTGTCAAGGTTCAAGACCTATTGGAGTTGACAATCTCTTGGATCGTTAAGGGGTGTAACCTTCACCTCGTGAACGGTTTACAAGTTCCTAAAAAACTTGTTGGCGACGCTTTTGCTCTATCTTCTTTCCCTTTGGACGCCACCGTGCTTTAGTGTACGATCACAGTGGGGTTCAAGGTAGGGGTAATGCTTGAAATATTCCCTACAGTTTTTGGCGATTCTACTGGGGAGAATTTTTATTTTAATTCATGAAATTTATTTTGGTAATGATTTAGAATGAGTGGATGAGACTCAAAAAGTTTTAAGTATTTCATGTGCGTAATATTGATTAACATTATTGTCATATGCATAAAAAAGATCTCATTAGAAAGACCATCCGTAATGAGTTAAAACATAGGATTTTTACACGTAGGAAATTTGAGGAATATCTTTCACAACTAGGACCGAAATAACACTGTGCGAAACTCCAAAATTTTATCGAGCACAGAAAGCTACTGAGGCATGTAGGAATTAGCGTCAGCGAATAGAAGTTAGCGCCAATACTTTGAGTTTAGCGCCAGACGAAAGCTCTGTCGCCAGGCGCTAAAGCCAAAAGCTGGCGCCAAATTCTTCCAATACCGAGCCAGAAATATGCGTTCTAATTTCGACCGGTTTTTAGCATTGTTTGCTCGATTCTACTTCCTGATTGAGTTTTTCTCACTTTTCTGAAACGCATATGTGTTCTACATATGGGCATAACCCCCTAGGAATTCATGCTCCATCTACCTGATTGAACGCTCTGAGCAACAAAGGGTACATCCGAGAATGTTAAATTCACCAAACCATGGAAGCGAGTTTTTCTAAAACTCGCGGTGTTCCATCCACTCACGCCAACCCTTCACGGTTAGGCGTCCGCGCGGTGCATCCGGACAATTAACCATGGACCCTCTATTGACTAACCCATATCCCGAACTTTAGAGAACTAGAGCCATGGTTAGGTTGCAAACTCATTGCATCATATTGTGCGTACTTGACTAATTGTGCATTATTTGTTGTGCATACTCTATGTGAATTTTCCTAACCGTTTGTTTGACTTGCGTTAAGACAAAATAAACTGCTTAATGGCTAAAAAGACTTTTCTTAATTAACTAATTAATTGATTAATTTTGGTAATTAGAGTCTAATAATCAAATC